GAGATAGATGCCCTTCGTTGGCAAAGATACCTGTTTGCCCTTCTCAGAGGACTGGGACCTAAATTCAGTTATGAAAGTGGGAGAGTTCACCCTGTCTTCCTTGGGGTGTGGGGGCAGGCTTCAAATTCAATCCTTCTGCCTCAACCTCCCTCAGGCTGATATTATGGGCATGTATCAATCCGTTTGGCTCTGGTCATCCTCCTGCTTCTGCATTCCAAGTAGTCAGATTACAGGCATGAACCTCTGCACCCAGCTTTCTGTGTGTATTTGAGACTGTTTTGAAGGTAGTCACAATCAAGGAATTTGGGGACTTCCTTGTTGGAGGAATGTGAAAGACCCTCATTCCTCCCTTACAGGGGCTGGGCCTCAGGATTCACTTCACACGTGTGTAGTACAAGCCCAGCAGGAGCAGGGATGGCACGCAGTGGGTGTTTCCTGACGTGGCCCATGGCGCCGCAACAGTGTTCTTGCTATGGGATCCTGGGTGGAATTTTGAGCATCAGTGAACACTGCCTTCCCCATGATGAACTTCTACTTGCAACTCTGCATCCTTTCCACCTTGGCTGCTAGGGAGCACAGATCCGAACCATGTGCTTTGAGAAATGTGTGTGTGGCTCCATGGTTGCCCTGCTCACCTCTGCCCTCCTTCAACCTCACTTGCCTTCTTCCTCTGTGGCCTTCTGGGATCCTGTGAGAGTCTGGTTCTCACATTTTTAGGGTGACCTCTTTGTGCAGTGTAAGCTGTGGTTCTTACAAATAAGGTACTAGGAATCCAGTGTTACAGTGTTACAGAACTGTTTCCCATCCATTCCCAATGTTACAGTGTTAAAGAATTGTTTCAGATCCATTCCCAATGTTAGTGTTATAGAATTGTTTTACATCCATTCCCAATGTTACAGTGTTACAGAATTGTTTCACATCCATTCTTCTATCCCTCCAGTCGGGAAACTGCCTCCAGGACTACATGTGGCATGTGGAACTTCCTGCTGGTGCCCCAGTCTTCAGTCTTCAGCCAGGTCTTCTCACTGTAGTCTTCCTGGCATCTGTGATTCCCATTTTCCAGTATCCATACTCCCTGCTGGTCTCTATCAGATTCTTTATTCACAAAGAAAACAAGCGGTCTTCCTTTCCCCACCAAATTAGATCAATACAGGATCTGTCTCTGGGTGAAAGGAAACACTGTCAGAATTCAGCCAGCCCTGTTTACTTATGTTGTAAAGTGAAAATCAATATGGTATTATCCAACATGAATCTTTATTTCAGATGAGGTAGCTGTGTATGGTTGTAAACTGACTTTTCCTGTCCCAACCATCTGGTCCCCAATAACCAACTCAGAGGCTGCCTATGAATATAAATGATCGTAATATGTTCGGCCGAAAGCTCAGGCTTGTTACTAGCTCACTCTTACACTTAATCTAACCCATATTTCTATTTATGCTTTGCCACGTGGCTCGTGGCTGGTTACCTCATTTTCTACATGTCCTACTTGTTTGGTGGCAGGCTGACTGGCTGGCATCTCTCTGGACTCTGTTCTAGCCCCAAACCCTGCAGCAGTGTAGATTAAAGAAAATTAACTAAGCTTTTAGTCCCATCACTGAGGAGGAAGGGACAGGCAGATCTCTGAATTTGAGGCTAGCATGGTCTACAGAGCGAGTTCTAGGATAGCCATGGCTGCACAGAGAAAGCCTGTCTCAAAAAACCAAGAGAGGGGATGGGGGTAGGGCATTAAATAAAAGGTTTTATAAAAAAGCTCCAATCACCAGAGGAGACATCTTTATTTACTGGGCTTAAGCAAAGTCTTTCCACCTCTACCCTCCTCCCTGTATTTGGTATTTCAAATTTTAAGGAGGGGCAACTGTGTTGTTTTCCCTTTTTGAAATTAGGATATTGTCAGGGAAACAGGGGTGTGTGGTCCAGAACTGATCATGGGGGTGGGGCTATCCTCAGGGACTTCTCCGGCCAAATGTTTTCCTATTGTTCAAGGAAGGGGGTGTTGCAATAAACAGAGGAACTGAGTTGAATCTTCCTTCAGGCAAGAGATTCATTCAGGCCAGCAGGCAGCACAGCACAAGTTAGAGGCTTTGGTCTTGTCAAAGTGGCTACTCTTAAGGTTTGTTTTTTTTGGGGTGGGGGAGGTGGGTTGTGGTTTCATTTTGAGGAAGTACACTTAGTTAACAGTCAACCTCTTCACCTCTGCTGTATGACTGAGGGTGGGGAGGGAGGGACATGTGACTTTGGCTACTTAACAGAGGTCACTCATTCTCTGGGTAGAGGAATGGGCTTGGCTAATGTTTGACTCAGTGTGACTCTGTCAGGGAGCTAGCTGATTTGGAAGGCAGGGGAGAGGTATGCCAGATATGGGGTTTTTTTGTTTGTTTGTTTGATTTTTTTGGTTTTTGTTTTGCATGTAGCCCTCTCTGCTTAAGGCCTGGCTTCTCTAATTCTGACACCTAATACCAAAGTATGACAACATCTGGTCCCTCTAACTCTGGGTAGAAACCAAAGGGAAGATTACAGAAGCACACTCTCTCTCCCTGAAAAGTTCATCTAAGTGGACTTGTCAATCATTTGGACAGAAGTCCACCACTAAGAAAAGCTGGCTACTCCACACTGATGCTGGCTGGAAACTGGAGGACTCATTAGAATCCCTAGTATAAGCCAGGCGTTGGTGGCCCATGCCTTTAATCCCAGCACTTGGGAGACAGAGGCAGATCTCTCTGAGTTCAAGGCCAGCCTGGCCTGGTCTACAAAGTAAGTTATTGGACAGCCAGGGCTGTTATACAGAGAAACTCTGTCTTGAAAAACCAAAACCAACCTGCTGACCCCCCCAGCCCCATAAAAAAAGAGGTCCAAATTTAAGACTGATAGAGACCCAATGTGTGGTACTGTAGTCCTGTGTCCTTTTCCTCCAAAGAGGTGATGGTCCCACTGCCATCTCTGGAGTAGAGATAACCTTGGCCCAGTAGCCATGGCAATGGAGTCAGAAGAGCATAACGCTGATAGATCTGTGAAAATGGTCAGAGTTCCCATTAGCTAGACAGAAGAAGGAAGAACCCTCACCTGGAGTTCCAGCCATTACCCCTCCTGCTCTTCTCCAACTACAAGTGGTCTCAGAAGATGCTAGAATATAGAGGAAGTGGGAGATTAACTGAGAGGGGGACTCCATGACACTGTTTTCATGATGGGATGAGAGTCGTCATGTTGATGTAGCTGCTGGGGTGGGGGGTGTCCATGTTTATGTAAGTGACCTGACCTCCCCCAAGCTCTGGAATTAAACCCCATAAATTCATTGGCTTACTCAGATAAAACTGGGTGGGTTGTAACTTGGGTCTGTCATGGATGTCCTATGGTTGTTCCCATTTTCCCATGAAATGTTAAATGAACAGGTGCTTGCTGTCTGCTGCTCTTTGTACCACTCTTACTTGGTTATGCATGAGCTGATGCCTAGGGTGGTGTGTCAAGGGGTTCCATGAAAACTTTTCCGGCTTCCTTTCTTCCTGCTATTCTGGGGTGGTATGCTATCGGTGGCGAACATGGTCGGCTTGTCTCATAGACTGCAGGGTAACAAGGAAGGGCTGTTGTCATGGTGCTAGGGAGGAGGGCTAGATGTTGACTAGACCACCTGGGCCCTGAAGTTGGATGTACACATGTGGAACCAACCAGAAACAATTGATGTTACTTCCTAGAAAGAAAGAGACTCCTGTTTCTGTCCTGTGGCTTCCATCAGGAGAATCTGCCTGAGTTCTCTGAGCCTCTGACTTCCTTCCCTTTGGAGACTTGCCTGCTTAAAAGATGTGCTCAACTTCACTGCTTCTGGGTTCCTCTTTGGGACTCAGTTGTCCTCTGAGCACACCTGTTCTTTTGCTGTTGTGTTGGCTCTGGACCATCTTCCAGCTCAGATCTCTTTCTGTGCCCAGCCTTCTTTGTCTAATCTGAATCACTTGCAGGCACTTATGTGGGGCTCCTCACGGGGCTCTAAGCTCCACAAAGTCAGAGAACTCAGTCTCTGGCTTGCTGTGGAGCCCTGCTGCTCTTCCCTGGGCTGAGCCACAGATGCTATCAATACTTGGCTAATTGTAGTAAGGTTTTAACTATTGGAATACCTGTCACATGGTGGTGACTTAAAGGCTAGGGAAACTCATGTCTTTTCTGGGACACCTTGGACCTGGACCTCATAGGTGTAGGGACACACAGCATGGCAAACTGGATTGCCAGGGAGAGCGAAAATGGCGCTTCCTTACAGAGGATTCTACAAGGCAGGGTCCCCACCCTGGGCATCAGCAAAGACCCTGAAGTCATTCATCCTCAGCATAAAACTGTCCTGGGCCATGAAAACTATCCCTGGCTCTAGCTACAAGATGCCAACTGTACCCAAAGCTCCAGATGTCACCCAAATACCTCAGTCACTGCCTAACATCTCCTACCCCAGCTGGCAGCTCTTGGCTCAGGACTCGCACACTGTGGGTACGTGACCCCTCTTGAGGCTTGCTCACCAGAGCCAGCCTCCAGGTACTTCTCAGTTGCTTACCACCTACTTATACTAAGGAGGCCAGTGGGCTCTGAGCCACAGCAATCCATACCTTTCATTTAGAAACAGGAAAAGACTGGGCAAGTTGCTTCCTTCTTTTGCTTTCTGAATGATACGTGAGAGACAACCCTGAACCCTTTCCTCCTGCCCATCAGCTCTTCTTCCCAGCCCTCTAGCATCAGGATGGTCCCTCCCTCCCTAACTGCGGTAAAGATTTGGCTAGTCCTGGTCACTAAGGAGCCTTGCTAATTCTTAGGCAATAAACATGTTGGCATGGAGGAAATAACTACAGGAAACCCTTCCTTTTAAGGATATCAGGTGGGAGGAGCTGAGGGAGGGTATTTCATAGACTGAAGGGCTTATTTCAGCCCACACCTCGCTGGAACTTTCCACTGTGCCTGCAGCCTGATCACAGAGAAGATGTGAGGAGAGATGTCAGGATGGGGCTGCTGGGTGGCCAGCACAGGGAGGGGCCCTCAGGATATGGCTGTGGGTGAAGGTTGGGAATTAGGAAGAGAAAGCTAGATGGGTGGTGGACAGGAGAATTAGGCAGACATTTATTCCTTGGGGAAGCTGTGTGGAGAATTGGAGGGGGAAGATTGGATGCCTGAGCCATGTCCAGGACATGTGAGAGCCCCAGTCTTATGATTTTGGGCGGGGTACTATTAACTAGCTCCAAGTTTTAAGGTTTTGTCTGTGCATTGCTTCTCCTAGGATGAACAGTTCCCACGCTATGAAGACCTGTGTACTCATCCTGCTTGTGGCCCTACTGTGTGCAGAGAGAGGTGAGGTGGAAAAGGGCCTCAGAGTTGTGGGTACACTTGCATTCTCATTGTGTGCCCTGTGCCTAGGTGTTCTGGGACCAGGGGATGCCCAGTGTGGATTGGTGTGTGATGGGTGAACTCTCATGGTCTGGGGTGGCTTCCTGGGCCTGTAAACCTGCCAGAACCTGCCTTGCAGCTTTCCCCACTGGCAAGTAGGGTCTTAGACTCCACTCCTTCCCGACCATGAGCAGTGGCCCCACACTCCTCAGGACCCATAGCCTCAGAAGGACGAACCCTACCATCCAGCCCCTTTCTCATTCCTTTCTTGAGGATCAGGCAAACCCTGGTCACCAAGGGCCCCTGTCCTCAGAGTACCCTGGTGCCGTTGCCTCCCAGCCATGCCACTGGCCTGTATGTGTACAAGGTGTCAGGGGCTTCTTTTCCTGGCCTAGCTGCCAAGTCAAGGAGTTTGGCACCCTCAATTTTTGGCATTCCTTACATTATGACATTTGACCTTGTTTTACCTCCCCATCCCAGCCACATGAGGCTAGAACTTCCTTACTTAAGAGGTTTCGAGCTCTCAGATACCCCTACAGTTCCAGTTACATGTGTATTATGAGGGGTTTCATGATGAACCCCAACTTTGCAGTTGGGTTCTGGGAAGTCCAGTGCCCTGTCATGCTCCAAGGCTCAGGGTCCAGCTCTGCAAATGTAGGGTGGGACAGGTCAGAACAGCCTTCCCCATCAGGAGGCCCTTATCACAGCCTGGTACCTACTCCCTCATCCCCTCACCGCTTCAGCAGACAGGAGGTACAAATGTCCTTCTGCTATGGTGACTGTTTCTCTAACACCTCTTGGGGTCCAGGTCTCCCCTGTGGGGCTGGCTGGCTGGCTGAGACAGCAGTACTCAGCTTACTTGAAGAACTATGGTTCTTGGCTCACTTCTGCTTTGGGTGTGGGTCCCTGAGGAGGAGTGTCCCTGCTCTGTCCTATAGCCCAGCAGCTGTGTGGAGGTAAAGCCAGGTGCAGAAGAGGGGTCTGGGCTAGGAAGGGCATGCCCTGACCCTCACGTATTGACCTGTTTCTCAGCCCAAGGGTTGCGCTGCTACCAGTGCCTGGGGGTCACACCTGAGACTTCATCTGGGACTTCTTGCCAACCAGCTATCTGCCAATTCCCTGACGGGGTCTGCATCACTCAGGAGTTTGAAGCCATTTTGGGTGAGTTCCCTGTGGCCTATATGAGGATGGGTTGGGGTCAGCTTAGAAAGAAAGGTCCAGGCAATTATGGACCATAGTTGTTTATGGACCATAGTTCTCTTCCCTCCAAGTAGGGTCCTCCTGTGGTTGGAGTGGGGCTCCTATAGGGGGAGCATGGTCAGGCCTGTGCCCTGGAGTCCAGGTATGTGCTGGGAGGTTGGTTCTTGAGCAGGGCTGTCCCTATGGCATGCGTGGCTGTCACCATCCCCCTTCCCCACCAATAATAGCCATGTGGTGCTCCTGTCCTTCCCCTATGTCCAGGGTCTCACTGGCTCACTGAAGGACCTGGAGAGCTGGGAGCATTTAGGAACTCTTTACATATAATGAAGGAGTCAGGAGATTTATTCTAAAGGAATGACTTGGTAATTCTGAAGAAAAGGAGACCTCAAACCACATTAGATCCCCCAAAGTGTCAGTTTCCAGGCATCTCCTCCAGATAGACAAAGCAGGAGCAGCCTCACCCTGCTATCCAGTTTCCTCCGCCTTTCTGCAGCCGCCTGCCTGGCTCCTAAGTACAATTTCTGGGGAACAGCCTGAGTCTGAGAGGCTGGCTGACCTTTCTGTGCTCCTGGGTGATCCCGCATTGTGCCATGTCTTTGTGTATGTGGGTGTGTGTTTGCCTATGAGTGTGGGTGCACATGTGTGTGCATGTATATAAGGCCAGAGGACAGCCTTTAGTATCATTCCTCATGTACTGTCTACTTTTTTTTTTAAGATTTATTATTTTATTTTATTGAAATGAGTGTTTGATGGATCCCCTGGAACTGGAGTTATGGATGGTTGTGAACCACCATGTGGGTCTGGGAACCGAACCCTGGACATCTATAAGAGCAACAAGTGCTTTTTACTGCTGAGCAAAGATCTTTCTCCGTCCCAACCACCTTGTGTTTTGAGACAAGCTCTTTCATTGGGACCTGGGATTTGCCGACTAGGCTAGTGGGGCTGGCCGAGAGCTCCTCTTTCCACCTCCTCAGCCCAGTCATTAGGAGCAGCTCTACCATGCTGGCTCTCTGCATGGGTGCTGACGGTTGAACGTGGGTCTGTATGCTTCCGTGCGGCAAGCGCTTTACTGACTGAGCTGTTTCCCTAGCACATTGTGTGTAAATGCATGTGTGTATGCATGTTCTCATGTGTGGGCGCACGTGCACTAGTGGGTACAAGTGTTTGGAGCCCAGAGGTTGACACTGGGCATCTTCCTTGACAATTGTTTTATTTGCTGCGGCAGGGTCTCTCACTGAATCCCAAGTTTGCAGATTCAGCTAGTCTAGCCAGTGAGGGATCCAGTCTCAGGGATTCCACATCTCTGTCTCATGAGCACTGAGATGATAAGTAGGCCACCATGTCTGCCCACCTTTTACATGGGTTCTAGTGATTGAAATTCCAGTCCTCACGCTTGCTCAAGGCAAGCATGTTATCCACCAGGCCACCTTACCAGACCATGGCTTTATTTATTTACTTGTTTGGTTTTTTTTGAGACAGGGTCTCACTGTAGCCCAGGTTGGCCTAGAAATCCCTATGTAGCCCAGGCTGGGTTTGAACTCATAATAATCCTCCAGCCTTAGTTTTCCAAGTTCAGGGATTACAAGTGTGAGCCACCATGTCTGGCTTCAATGTGCCTTAGAGCCAAGGCTGTGCCCTCCAGGCATGGTGGCATGTGCCCCAGACTTTGGGGTGCTGAGTTGTCCCTGTACATGCTGTGAAGTCTCTCCCTGATGTCTAACAAATCTCTCTCTGTTTTTTTTTTTTTTTCAAGACAGGGTTTCTCTGTTTAGGTTTGTGCCTTTCCTGGAACTCACTCTATAGCCCAGGCTGGTTTCCAGTCACAGAGATCCTCCTGCCTCTGCCTCCCCAGTGCTGGGATTATAGGTGTGCACCACCAACGCCTGGCTTGTCTTACAGATTCTTACAAAGAGAAAAGAATGAACAAGTTCTGTCTTCCCCGCTGCCCTGAATATCAAAGTAAACTTGGAAATATCCTATCCATTGCTACCGCCATCAGCTCCAAGATTTCCTGTTGTAAGGAAGACCTCTGCAATTAAGCGATTCTCACTGGGGGCAGCATGGCCAGCCTGGGGTCGGTCCTCCTGCAAGCCTTGTTATGACAGTCCTTCCTGCTACTCCCACCCTCATTTTGAATCCCAACAGGTAATCACTCTTTCCTGGAACCCTCTAGGGATGAACTGTGAGTTTTAAAAACCCTGAGGTGGGGATTAGGATGTGGCTTCTCCCAATTCCCTGACATTTCCTCCCTCCTCCTGCCCTAGGTCTCACCTCACTAGCTTGTCCAGCCATGTCTCTTGAGTCTAGAGCAGGACCTCACACAAATTCTCCTCTCTGGGTCAGCTCTCTGAATGCCACCCCATATTCCTACCACTGCTCTGTCCCGGGCCACCATGGCCATGACCACTTCCCCATATCACACCTTCTTGTCTCGTGGTTATGATATGTGCAATATAATATATGAACTTCTTTAGATTTAGTCTGTTTGGGGTTTATTGATTCTGGAGCACACTTTACGCCTTTCTCTGAGATGAGAAATTTCCTTCTTGCCTGCCTGCCTTTGTTTCTGGTTTGGGGATCTGTCTTAGAGTCTCACAGGCTGGACAAGCCACTTCACCAAGAGCTAACCCCTGAACCCTATCATTTCTTCACATGTTTCTCCCACTGCATTACTTTTCCACTGCCCCTGGGATACCTGCCACACATACACACACACACACACACACACACACACACACACACACACACACACACACACAAACACTTTCTGGTGTTGGCCTGCTCATGTCTTCCCTGGTTCTTCTGCATGAGTCCGGCTGTCACCTTCGACCTCATATTGGGTCCCCTTTTTCTTTACTTTGGCAATGATGTCTTTATATTGTTCGCCTCCATCAGCTGCTCTTCGAGGTCCTGCTTTCTTGCTGAGCAGATTTCATACTTTCCCGCTTACACCCAAACTGCTTGCCCTTACCATGTATATTTACATCAAAGCCGCCGTGCTGTCCCAGTATCCCATTTTCCATGTCATCTCAGCATTGGCATCTGTATGAGTTACTTTCTGTTGCTGTGATAAAACACCGTGAGCAAAAGCGACTGACGGGTTTATTTGAGCTTACGATTCCAGAGGGGGAGTCTAGAATGGCAGTGGAGGTATGGTAGCTGGAGCAGGAAGCTGAGTGGTTACATATTCAACAGCAAACACAAAGCAGAGAGAAAGGCGAGGGAGAGGGAGGAAGAGAGGGAGGGAGGGAGAGAGAGAATTGGAGGTGGACTAGGCTATGAACTGTAAAAGCCCCCTCTCCCCCAGTGATGTACTGACTCCAGCAAGGTTGCACCTCCTAAATGCTCCATCTCAAACATCACCACTAACCTGGGACTAAGTGTTCAATACTGGGCTTATGGGGGACATTGCTCACTCAAACCACCTCAACCTCTGTTGAGCATCCTCATCCTCGCTACTGGGGTTTCCACGATCTTCGGTATAAGAAGTGATTGCGGTGCTCTGCTGTGAAGCTGAACCCTCTTCGACTCTGATGGAGCAGGTTGACCAGCCCCTTTGCTTCAGCAGCTGCTGCAGATGCAGACCCATGTGCTATGGATGGAGAATGACTCTGGGCAGCTCATTTTTCCAAGTGTTGGCAGTGTTTGGATTCACTGCTAGCCTGAAGCCCGGTGATGGGATTGCTTCCCAGAGACCCATCCCTTGAGTGCTTTGGGCATTTTGCTATTATCTGAAATCTCTCCTTTTGGCTGGAGACCTGGAGCTCCAGATTCCACAGAGGACACTCCCCACTCCCATGCAGTCACATCAAGGTCCCAGGAAAGATGAGGGTGGAAGGCCCAGGGTTGATGGCAGCCTGGGTGGGTAAGCTCAGCCGATCCACTTGGAGGAGTGAGCTCCCTTCTCTCAGAGCTCAGGCATTTGCTGTTTGGTTTTGTGGCCACTGCTACCTGGAGCTGCTGAGAATTTTCTGGTACCCTCTTTGCCTATGCTCAGAGTTCATGTCTGTGTGGGCATCTCTGGCACCAAGACCAGGTCGGACTGCCATCTCCCACATGCTGTTCCAATTTGCACCACACCTACAAACATACTGAGTCCATTTAGCTTCATCTATATGTTCTTGTGTCCAGGACGGACCACAGGGACAACCTAAGCGGGAGATTATGCCTGGGGAAGACTGATTCTTCTTCTCTCAGCAGCCATTGACCACCTACAGCTCTTTATCTAGAGAGAGGGCCTGGAGAAATTTCCCCTGTCCACATTAGTGTGACAACTGGAGTCATGATGTTGGCATTGTTCAGGCGACCCAATAGTTGAGATTCGTGGTTGGGGTTCCCCTGACTAGAGGACACTTTCGTGCAGCAGGCATCCTAGTCCTGAAGCTCTTAGAATCTTTTCACATGTCTTCTGTGATGTTTCCTGAGCCTTAGGTGTAGGGACTGTGTTACAGATGTATCAGCTGGCGTTAGACACCCCATGGTCACTTATTCTCTGCCTTTTGATCAATTTTGATTCTTTGTGGCAGTCTCCATATATTGCGAAAGGAAACTTCTTTTATGAGGTGTATGTGTAAGAGTTATAATACTTCTTTTCCTTTTCTCTTCTCTTCTTTTCTTTTTCTTTCTTTCCTTCTTTCTTTCTTTCCTTCTTTCTTTCTTTCTTTCTTTCTTTCTTTCTTTCTTTCTTTCTTTCTTTCTTTCTTTCTTTTTTCCAAGATGGGGTCTCACTAGGTAGCCTTGGCTGTCCTGGAACTTGCTCTGTAGACCAAGCTGGACTTGAACTCAGGGAGATCCACTTGCCCCTGCCTCCAGAATGCTAGGATTAAAGGCGTGTGCCACTATGACTGGCTAGAGAGTTATACTTACTCTGCTGGTTATAAAGGCTGTCAGATCAGAGCTAGGCCTGGGTGTTGGGGATGGCATAGGTGGGTGAGGATACAGGTAACTCATCAAGCTAAGCCAACACAGAGGCTTGGGAAACATATACATATATATTAGATTTATTTATTTATACTGTATACAGTGTTATGCCTGCATGTATGCCTGCAGGCCAGAAAAGGGCACCAGATCTCATTCTAGTGGGTTGTAAGCCACTATGTGGTTGCTCAGAATTGAACTCAGGACCTCTGGAAGAGCTGCGAGTGCTCTTAACCTCTGAGCTATCTCTCGAGCCTGGGAAATATATATATGTATGTATATATATGTATGTGTATATGTATGTATGTATATATGTACATATATATACATATATACACATACATATACATTTTTTGGTTTTTCGAGACAGGGTTTCTCGGTCTAGCTTTGCGCCTTTTCTGGAACTCACTCTCTAGTCCAGGCTGGCTTCGAACTCACAGAGATCCGCCAGGCTCTGCCTCCCAAGTGCTGGGATTAAAGGCGTGCGCTGCCGCCGCCGCCGCCGCCGCCGCCACCACTCCCCTCCCCCCGCCCGCGGTAAATATATTTTTATAGAGCCAATTTAAATGGCCTTTTCCTATAATTGGATTTTGCAGTATTGGGGACTGAGCCTAGGCCCTCACACATTCAATGGGCATTCTACAACTGAGTTATATCCCCGACTTTGAATTTTGAGTTAAAGTTTTGGAGGCTCTCTCCACATCCAGGCTATCAAGATGCTTTGTGTATCACTTCCTCTGCCACGGTTGTGGTTAACATTTAGTTTCTCCTTCATGTACGACATGTGGTACATGAGTATAGCTCCAATTCTACTACCAGCAAGTAGCTGTTCCCTTGCTGACACTCACTGTTAGCTGTTGACATTTTCCTCCCTAATCTACTTCCTTTAGTTACCCATCTACAAGATAATACCTCATTGCTAAATTTTTTGAGATTTAAAAATGATTTATTTTTATTATGTGTGTATGCCACCCCCCATCCGCCTCTGTGTGTGTGTGTGTGTGTGTGTGTGTGTGTGTGTGTTTGCACATCCTCATGAGTATGAGTGCATGTGGAGGCCAGAAAGCCTCAGATGTCATTTTCAGGATGAGCATCCATTTCCTCTGAGATGGATTCTCATTTGCCTGGAGCTCACTAACTAGGCAAGACTGGTTGGCCATCGAACCCCAGGCATCTGCCCGTCTCTGTGCCGGGATTAAACACACGTGCCACCAGGCCCAGCATTTTTCAGGGGCTTGGGGATCAGACATCACCAACTTAAAAATTCTCTTGTTCTGTAAGTTCCTTGTTTCCAGCTTAAAGGATACAGAAGACTGAAGCCCAGGTTCCAGAAGAGGAACTTAGGCCCCAACTACAAAGGAGGCAGAGTAACTGATACAGAGGTTGGGTAGGAGAGCCCCCTAGGGGCCTAGACTCACCCAGAGACACAGGAATTTGCTGTCTATGGGCAGTAAAGAAAAAAGGCCTTTGGTAAAACTACAGTCATGTAAACAAGGGAGCAAGGAGAGAATACTTTTGTCAATGAGCAGCAAACAAAAGCCAGTGTCAGGGACAAGCATGACCTGCAAGCTCCGCGATGGTGTGACTAGCACATGAGTCGAAGTGAACAGCCAAGGAAGCAAGTCAGAGATGTGACCACCCCCAGCTGGGCAAGCAGTATGTGATTACCTCCCGGCTGGGCCAGGGAGGCATGCGCAGAGCCTGGGAGCCCGCCATTGGTCTGGCCTATGCTATGTCGGGATGCTTAACCTGTCTCAATAAAATTCCCTTAATCTTTGCCTCGTCCTAACTATAACTCGTATAAAAAGCTCCCAATCAAGGCACCTCACAGTGTCTTCCTTGGTTCCTCTCCCATGCTAGGGGTCCAAGTTTTGTCTGCGCTTTCCTTGGTGAATTTTGCTTTCTCTTTGCTCACTTCTGTGTGTCCACATCGGTAATCATTATAGCTGTGAGACGATGAACTCAAAAGCATCGGTCTCTGTTTCACTTTTGGGGTCTGTTGACTGTCTGGCACATCTGGGTTGGGGAAGGCCTTGTCACTCTCAAACACTTGCCTCACCAGCACAGGACCCAGGTGGCACTTATACACAATTTTTACAGGAGAATTTGGCTCCAAGGAGCCACCCAGCCTACCCTACCATGGCAAGATGGTCTTCTCAGTACCTGTTCCCTTAGCACAAGCCAGGGTGTCCCAGGCCTGGAGATCCAGAGGCTCCCAAAGCCCTAACACCTCCAAGACTCCTACCCTGGACCGCTGAGCAGTACCTATGACACTACTGTGCAGCCGTGTGGGGAGTGAGTGGAGTTAAAACTCAGTGTGAAAACCCCTAACTGCTTTAAAAACTAACACACACACAACCCCAAAGCAAGAGAAGATCTTGCTTTCGTCAGGGACCCTAGGAACAGAGATGCCAGGGTTATCCAGATCCAGATCCAGATCCCGATCCAGATGGCTGTGGGCCATCTCCATCACTGGGTCAAGATGTCAGTTAGGAAGAAGCTGCAGGGCCCTGGGTGGAGGTTATGGTGTCCTCCTTGCCACCTCAGCTAAGAGTTGGGTGGAGGAGCATGAAGAGCAGGGTCAGAGAGGCAGGTGTATGTGGACCAGGGTAGGCAGATGTAAGCATTTGGGAGCAAGGTCCCACACCCACCCACAGGCTCACTTGTCAGATAGAGTTTGAATCTGAAGCATTGCTTGTAAGGTCAGGTTTCAAACCTTATTCCCCAGCAGGTGGCACTATTTTGGGAGGCTGTGGAACCTTTAGGAAAGGGGTTCTAGTTGGTGAAAGGAGGTAGTAGGCTGACACTTGGACCCTGGTTATGAAAGACCCTAGCCCTTCAGGCTTACACCCCCAAGCCTCAGGAAGAGAGAAACTTCAAGCACCAGGAAATGAGAAACTAAAAATCTAGTTCCAAGGGCCACCTGACTCAGCCACTACTCAATCACCCCTGTAACAATATAGCAATGTAAACAGATTTCTGTTAAGAGATGTGCTCAACTGTGACTGGGATAGTTGCAGGTGTTCCAGGAAGAATCACCGTGACCTGTGTGTAAACTCCACTCCCGCCCTGATACCGCCCTTGAGGTTTCAGGAAGAATGTACCTGTTGACGTGACTGTATCCACTCTGTGATCACCCTGTGATCAGGCCATGAAATTGTATGGGAATTGTAATCTTGTGGGTTTTTCCTTTAAAAGCCCTTATGGGGCTGCAGTAAGATGCGACTCTAGCTCTTTGGAGCAGAGTTTGCCCATCTGTACAGATGTTTCTTTAATAAAATCCCTGTGCTGTTGCATCAACTGGACTGCAGTCTGGGTTCTTGGGGCACCCACCTGAGACCCTAAACTTTGGTGTCCAACAGTTCCAGCTTTCTTCTCCGTATATTCCTAGTCTAATATGACATCAACAGCCTCAGTACACGTTCCCACTGCTGGGAGCAGGGCTCCCCTAGGCCTTACCCATCATGATGCCTGAAACCATGAGTCCATCTAAATCCTCTTTAAGCTGTTTCTGGATGCGGACCCCCACCCCTTCTTTCTGTTTCCCCTCTGTTCTCTTCTCTGCTCCCAGCTTCCCTTCCCTGCCAGGCCAGGCTCCTCCCTCCTATCCCCTCTTCTTTCTAATA